GTGCATTGCTGTTTCCGCCGCTTCAAACAAGCTGTTGCGTTTTTATATGAAAGTACACTAAACAATGTAGAGCATTTGTTTGAATGAGCGCTGACTATAGTAAACTTGGACACTCGAATGAGATAACACTCAGCTGAATTGTCGAATTTTGCCCAAGATTATGATTGCTATGTAAATGAAACAATCGGTAGTAATTTAGAACGTGATTCAGCAAAAAGGAGTTTAAACGGTAAACCCTGTTTAAGTAAGCACGCTTGATTGAGAGGGGCAAACCTATTGGGGTTTGAAAATTTTGGTCTCTCAGTGAACGGACAAGAACATTGAGAAGAAGACACAATCAGTCGTCAATCCACAACGATACCACTTAGACCACTTTGCTTGGACAAAGTAACATGGAATTTTTTGAATGTCACATTTTTATAAAGCACTCAATGGATCTTGCAAATTCATGGGACAGATCGAGGAGAACCTTGGCTTTAAAAACGCAAAAGTTTATTTGCGCCGTTTCTGCCAACTACTTATTGTACTTAAACTAGAAGGCATTGCTCCCCTCCTTGACGAGCCTTTAAGCCAGCTCTGTGCTCCTTGCTGAGTATAGAGATAATGGGTAAAAGGCAACTGGAGATTAGGAAGTTGTTAGAAGGTATTACGTTTTTTGGATAGATGACACTTGAAGCGATCCCAAATGTCAATTTCAAATTAAGCACGCAAGTCGCCAAGGCTTGGCCAGGTTTGTCATGCCAAAGTATTGGATGAAACCTTGCAAGTAATTTAACATGATTACCACAGGTACTAATTGTCAAGGGGAGAGACTGTAGCCTGTTTGATAGTTAAATGTCTACCGGTAATTTAAAAAAATAGTACAATCTGAACTTTCCTAAGAGTATACAATTTTATAGTTGAAATACTGCAAAGTGTTTGAGGGATTCAGTTTTGGAAGTTTGTTTGCAATAGTTTTTGTAAGCTTATGCAAATAGTCTGTCTTCAGTGATGACAGTAGCAAAATAAATTTACTGGCAAAATGAACGTAAGGCTCTTTGGTTGAGAGACAAATTGCGGCGCCTTCTAACAGGTCAACACTACAAAATACTATCAAGGATCTCATGGAATCATCTAGCGCAGAGGCAGGAAAGCAAGGGAATGGGAATTGTGAAGACCAGAGGAGAAGTTCCCGTGGTGGCACATTGGTGAGTCTGCAGACCTTAGGAGGGTGTCATTTTTCGTTTCTTTCATATATTCACTATAGAAACTGCAAATACGCCTGTCCAATCCAAATGGCTGCCACCATCGCAAAATCAAAATGACACACTTTCGTTTCTGCGTAGACTGTTTATGATGCAATGAGATGTGGGAGATTGAGTAATTAATCACAAACTCCTGCATTATTTACGCTGTCACGCACACAGGAGTAGGTTGGTGTTATTGTACGAGTAGACCCACTTCCCCAGAGATGTGCCTTCAATTTATTGAGGAGTCGTGGCAGGTGAATTGAAAATAACCTTCACTTCTTATTCTGAGCACGCAATCAATGTAATTTTGTATTTGTGACTGGGTATTGAGGTGCTTTTGTGTTCCATCGTTTTTGACTAGAAACGGGGAATGGTTGCAGATGGCTGAGGTGAAGGCGGCGTCATGTGATATTTTTTGTTGGAAGTCATGAAAGCTACACGGGTGTCATTAAAACTTGATCAAGCTTCGAACCTGCCGGAGTCTGCACCTGAGCAAGCATTC